GAGTGGGAGAGGGAGAAGCAGGCTTCCCGCGGAGCAAGGAGCCCGATGTGGGGCTCGATCCCAGGACCCTGGGATCATGACCTGAGCCAAAGGCAGCCGCTTAACCGACTGAGCCACCCAGGCGCCCCACAGTAATTCTATGTTTAACGTTTGGTGGAACCAACAAATGTTTTTTCCACAGTGGCTGAGTCATTTTTACATTTTTAAAACAAATACATTTAACAGAAGTACATATATTTTTAACACAGTGTATGAGAGTTCCTATTTCTCCATGTTCACTAATTTGGCAAATACATACCAGTTACTTTAAGTGTTCAAAATGTAGTGTGGGGCTATAAGGAGGAAAGAAATGGAACTGATATTTTAAGACATAATGAGGCCTGATGTCATCCACTTGATTAAATCATGACTGTATAATCTAATTCATCAAATTCTTCACATCTCATGATTTAAAAAAAAATTCTTGAAAACAATTGATACGCAGTGTTACATTAGTTCAGGTATAAAACAGTGATTCTACAAGTTTATGTGTTATGTTGTGCTCACCACAAGTGTATCTACCATCTGTCACCATACAACATTATTACACTATCATTGACTATATTCCTTATGCTGTACCTTTTATTCCTATGACTTACTCATTCCATAACTGGAAGCCTGTATCTCCTACCGGCCTTCATCCATTTTGCCCATCCCCCCACCCCAGCAGTGATTCTTAATCCTCACTGCAATTAGAATCACTTGAGAAGCCTTTCAGAAATTTTAGGCCTGCTACACTAAAACAGTTAAACCAGAATTTCTGGAACCCAGTTTTCTTTTTCTTTTTTCTTTTCTTTCTTTTTTTTTTTAAGTAGGCTCCCAGCCCAGCGTGAAGCCCATTGTGGGGCTTGAACTCACGACTCTGAGATCAAGAGTCAGACATTCAACCAACTGAGGCACCCAGGCACCCCATCTTTTGTTTTGTTTTTTAAGTTCCTCGGAGGATTCTAATGTGCAGTGAGGGTCAAGAACTACTCAACTAGGAGAATGGGCTAAAAGATAGAAAAGAACTAATATTTATTAAGCACTACTTTTATGAGATTTTATTCCAAATGCTTTATTCAATAACTATAATTTCTATATATTAGCAAATGTATATATATGATATCCTGACCTACTTCTACCATTTTGAGCCCTGTGTGGTGAACAATCATATTATTCCTAACCTTCAAGGTAGATATTATAATCCTATAATCCCTATTTTACCAATGAGGAAATTGAGGCACAGACCAGTGAAATAACTTGTCTAAGATTATCACATTAGGTAGATACAGCTGGATTCACCCATAAGTCTTTCTGAGACTCCACACTCATGCTCTTTCCACTATACACCATTGCCTAAGAGCCTAGCTTAATTCTCAGAAGAATCCTGGGGTAAGTCTCATGATCCTCATTTTACAGATGAGGAAATGAGTTCTAGACAGGTTAATTTGAATAGGTCACAGCTATTAGGTGGAAAGGCTGGGAGGTATTTAAACTTAGACTTGTTTAACACCAACTATATGCTTATGAAAGTAGAGTATATAGCATATATTCAACATTCAATACAATTCATTACTCTGAAAGAACAGAGGCATGATGGATTATGAATATAATCCAGAATATTATTCTTGTTTAAAAAGATTTATTTATTGGGATGCCTGGGTGGTTCAGTCGGTTAAGCGTCTGCCTTCGGCTCGGGTCATGATCCCAGGGTCCTAGGATCGAGTCCCATATCGGGCTCCCCGCTCAGCGGGAAGCCTGCTTCTCCCTCTGCCTGCCACTCCCCCTGCTTGTGCTTTCTCTCTCTCTCCTCAATGAATAAATAAAATCTTTAAAAAAAGATTATTTATTTATTTATTTATTTATTTATTTATTTGAGAGAGAGAATGGGGGAGGGACAGAGGGAGACAGAGTCTTAAGCAGACTCTGCTGAGTGCAGAGCCCAACACTGGGCTTGATCTTACAACCCTAGATCATGACCTGAGCAGAAACCAAGAGTCGGGGGCTTAACCAACTGTGCCACCCAGGTGCCCCCAGAGCATTATTCTTAATAAGGAGAGCCATCCCTAGGTCTTCCTTCTTAGGTCTCAGGATGCTAAACCTCTGTTGAACCACCAATTCCAGGGGGCTTTTTTTTATCGGGGGGAAAGAGGCACAAAGAATTCTGCCATAACCCTCTATCATATTTACCTGAAAAAACTTTAACCCTGGCTAAGTTCAACACTACAATGTCTTCACACCCTTATCTAAGCAGCTGAATCATGCTGATTGGTTTCTTTTTTAATTCATTGTCTCCAACTCGAATGGGCATTCACTACTCAGCAGTTACGCATTTTCCTACTAAGTTCATTTTCCCACTCTAGAGGATATTATTTCATATGATTTCTTCATTTCCAACCCTCCAATGCTCCCTGACAGAATCTCATCCCACCCCCAGTCCACTAGTCTCCATTCTCCGTTGCATTATTGATTTCCATCTTTTCACTGGATCATTCCTTAACACTTTACAAACATCCCCTAGCACCTATCTTTAAAACCATCAAAACCAAAAACGAAAAACCTCTTTTGAACTTTCATCTGCCTCTAGTTATCACCCTACTTCTCTGTTTTCCTTCGCAGCTAAACCTTTGCAAAGCATTGGCTTCATCATAGTCTCCAACCTCCACCTTTATCAAATCAACCATCTCCATGCACCATGCCACCAAAACTGATATTATCGGGGTCACTAGTGACCTCCTCAGCCTCTCAACAGCCTTTAAAACAGCTTATCACTACCTTCTTCCTGAAAGTTTCTTCTGGCTTTGGTGACTCCATATTCCTTGTCTTCTGTCACTGGTTGCTTCTCAAACTTTTGTTTTATAGGTGTATAAATTTGTTTTATAGGTAAGAAGGTTCCTTTTCCTCCACATCCTCACCAACACTTGTTGTTTCTTATGTTTTAGATTCTAGCCATTCTGACAGGTATGAGGTGGTATCTCATGGTAGTTTGAATTTGAATTTCCCTGATGATGAGTGATGTTGAGCATCTTTTCATGTGTCTGTTGGCCACACGATCATGCTTTTAACTGACTGACCCACCCAGGCACACCCACATTATCATGCTTTTAGGTATGGGTTTTCTACCACTTACATAAGGATTGGGTTCTGAAGTCAGCTCATAAAGAGAAGAAACCTCATGATGTAGAATTATTCTCAGAAATTCCTTAAATCACCTATAAAGTCTGGTAGTTGTGGTTTCATACATGTTGATCTTATACATGGTTGTGGCCATATTTATGTGCTGAACTGAAGGCCAACACTTCATTTCCTAATAAGCTCTAAGTCAATTCTTTTCCTCCCATGTTGACATAAGTTGTTTTTATGAAGCAACAGTTGAAAGACTTGGGGCTTTCACTTAGGGGCTGGGTTTCAGGAAAAATACTTATTTTTAAAGAGTGGATACAACTGAAACAGCAAGATTTTCCCACTATGAGAGGGTATCAGGGGCTGAATCCATCTGAGAATACAACAGATATACATCACCCATCTCGTGCTTACTCCACACTTGCTTTCCTTGAATGTAAAGGAATTACCCCACTATTTGAAGTATTTCTTAGACTCTTTGGTTGAATATGTATAACTTAACTTTAACAGATTAAATGCTTCTTAGATAGTATTCCATTGTACCATTTATATTTTGATGACTCCTAAATTTATTTCTCCAGCCTTGACCTTTTTCCCTGAGATTCAGACTTATGGAACCAACTACCTCCTTGGGCTTCTCCATTTAAAGTCAACCAGGCATCTTCACATGTCCAAAAGAGCCGTTGATTCCTCGCCACCACCACCACTCCCGTATCTCATCCTCACCAAAAAGCTGTTCTTCCATAATGGTTCCTGGCTTAGTAAATGGCGTACCCAGGGTTTCAAGCAAAAAAATCTAGGAGTGGTCTGTGTGATTCCTCCCTTTCCCTCACTTCCACATAAAATCAATCTGGTACATTTAGCTCTACCTCCAAAATATATCCCAAATCTATCCATTCATTTCCATCAGTACAGAGACCCACCCTAATCCAAGCCACCATCATCATTTCTACTTTGACTAGCCTCCCTCTTTCCACTCTTAGCCTTTCTAGGATTCATTCTCCAAATTGCCAGAGTAATCTTTTATAAAACATTCACTTATTCAGTCACCAAATACTTATTGAAGAGTGCACAGAAACTGGGAATACAGCAGTAAAGCAAATTAGATCCCTGTGCTCATGAACTTTCATTCTAGAATGGAGAGAGACAATGCATAAGTGAATAATTTTGTACATTACAAATACAATGAAGAAAATAAATATAAAGTGATATGCTAAATCATGTTGTTCTCTCAGTACAAAAAAATTTTTAATACCTTCACACTGAGCTTAGATTAAAATCCAAATTCCTTACCACGACTTTGTTATAAGATTCTATGAGATCAGGTTTCTGTTTGCCCCTTCAGCCTTATCTGTACCACACTTCCTCATTACAACTTGGCTCCAGTCACCTGGGCCTTCTATTTCCTCACTGTTCCAAACCTTTCCCTTTCTTCAGACACGTGTTTCCTCTATGTGGAATGCCATTTCCCAGATCTGGGAAGGGCTGCCTTCTCTTAGCTAAAATATCACTTCTCCAGAATGAACCTGACTAATCTACCTAAAAGTGGCTCCCCAGCCCTTTCTCTATCAATTACACCGTTACTTGTTTCATAACACTTTTCACTTTTGGAAATTATCTTGCTTTTTTAACAATATCTTTGTCTCCACTAAAATGTAAGTTTCCTGAGGTGAGGAATCTTAAGGTGTTGTTCACCAAAGTACCCATAAAAGTCTAAAACAGTGCCCGGCATAAGAGGATCTTGATAAAAGAACAAATAATGTCAGGCTATATGAGGTAAAATGGTTTGGGTTCTCACAGCCGCCAGGCTCCGCCCCCCACAACCACTTCCGCCCACGGCCCGGCCCCAGACCTTCTGGGGGAGGAAGTTCTCTGCGCAGGCGTCCTGGGACCGCGGTGCTTTCTGGGTAAAAATGGATGCTCACGATCTCTTTCGCCGGCTTGGTGTCGGGGCCAAATTCGACGTGAGACGTTTCTCTGCGGACGCAGCGCGATTCCAGGTACTGTACGCAGGAAAACAGAAGCCCCAGTAACTGAGAGCGCAGGGGCCCGAGAATGATCTGGCTGCTGGGGGAGCCGGCACTGGGAGACCGCGGCCTGGTCGTGGGGCATGTTCCCTCTTTGCGTTGGGCTCGTGCTCAGACCTTACCTGGTCAAGTCCTGCCTTCGGAGTGAACTCTTAACCATTCTTTTGTAGACTTCGTGGGCCTAGCACAGAAACCCTTCTCCCTCCCTGCTTTTTAGTTTATTCAAAGCACAGTTAGAATCCTTTCAAAAGTAGCTTTTTCTCCGAAACTGTTAGAAAGGAATTTCGAAAACAGAATGAACCCAAAATGAAGAGAACAGATTCTTTCACTCTAGTCTACCCAGGTTGGCTTGGCACGCATATACCTTTAGTGGGCATGGGTCTTTTTATTCCTGTAACCTCATGACGTGTTAAGTAACCAGTGAGAAGAGCGACTTAGAAATGGGGACTCTTACGTAGCAAAGTAGTGGGTGAATGGTAAATCGGGAGAAGTTAGTTGGAGCCCAATTATCAGCCTTGACATTGAGCAACACGTGTATTTCTCGTTTCTCTGGCGGTAGGTGTAGTTGTTGAGTTTGAACTCTGGAGCCGGATTATTTGGGTACAAATACTGGATCTGTCACAACTTTCGAGACCTCAAGTTATTTGACCTCCTAATGCCTTGATTTTTTTCATCTATAATATCGCTATTTACCCCTTAGCGGTATTGAAGGATGAAGTAATTTAATATATATAAGCATGCTTAGAAGTCTGCCTGACAGTATATAGGTGTTATGCTGATAAGCATATAAATGGTAATTACTCTTATGATTGTTACAACAGTTAAAAGGTCAGAAAAGTTATCTTGTATTACATTTGCTCAAACACGCTTGGCTGCTCAACAGATACTTGGTGAACGGATTAAAAAAAGGTGGGGAGTTATTAGACCCACGCCCTTACTGCCAGTATTGCTTGGGTGAAAGCAATGTCAGTCTGTCAGTAGATTGCATTTTAAATTTTTGGGGTTTTAGGTAGGAAAAAGGAAACATGACTTTGATTCTCCAGAGGTGCTGCACAGACGGGACTTCTTTGGAAACAAGAAGTCTGCTCCAGGTGAGTGTGGAGCATCAAGAACTCATCAGGAGCTTAAAGATGAAGAGAAAAAAGAAGAGAGCCTAACTGAAAAGAAGAGGGAACAGAGCAAGAAAAAGAGGAAAATGATGATGTCAGGTTAGTTCTTGGTTTCTTTTTCTTCCTTTTTTTTTTTCCAGTTGCAAAAATAATACAGGCTTAAGGTTACAAATCAGTATACTGTCATTCATTAGTTAATGGCGTTCAGGTTGTTTCCAGGTATTTGCCATTACAAATATTGCTACAATAAAGGTACTTATGTATATATCCTTTTGTACAGGTCCTGGTTTTTTTTTTTTAAAGATTTATTTATTTGAGAGAGCGAGAATGAGAGAGAGAGTACATGAGAGAGGGGGAGGGTCAGAGGGAGAAGCAGGCTCCTTGCTGAGCAGGGAGCCCAATGCGGGACTCGATCCCAGGACTCCAGGATCACGACCTGAGCCGAAGGCAGTCGCTTAACCGAGCCACCCAGGCGCCCCTGTACAGGTTCTGTTATTTCTGTAATTAGCATCCCCAAAGTGGAATCACTGGCTGAAAGGGTATGCACACTTCTTTCTTTGAGTAGATAATGAAAAATGACTTCCCACATCTGTGTCAATGCTGGATAGTATTGGTCTTAAATTCTTTGTCAACCTAATGAATGAAACTAATTTTTGTATGTATTTTCTTGATAACTGGTGAGGTTGAGCATGTGTTCATATACTTTAGTGGATATTTATATCTCAGCAATTGTGAATTGTCTGTTCTTACTCTTTGCCTGTTTTTCACAGGGTTTTTTTTTTTCTGTACTTCAGGGATATTGATCTTTTTCTTGGTTATATCTGTTAAGTTTCCTAGCCATTTACCTTTTTCAGTAAAGTAAATACTTACACCTGGTTTTTAAAAGTTATACAGTGGTGAAAAGCAAATTTTCTTCCTACTATTTCTAGTCCCCTATTTCTCCAGAGGCAACTGCTGTTAATCATTTTCTTATGTATTTTTATAAAGATATCTATTCACTATGTTTATACCTCCCTTAAAAAACCTGAACAATAGCATACTGTATTTGTCCTATTCTGAACCTTCTCTCCTCCTCCACTTAAAAAAAAAAAACACACACACACACATCTTGGAGATTGTTTGGAATCAGTAGGAAGTGCCCTGCCTTTTTCATTTTAACACAAAATATATCCCATTATACATTCCATAATTGACTTAACAAGTTCGTTTATGATGGACATTTAGTTTGTTTCCTCACTTTTGCTATTACAGTGTTGCAATAAATGCTATTCCACTTATCTTTGTGTGTATGCGGATGTATCTGATAAATTCTTAGAAATGGAATTTCAGAGTTAACCAATAGGTTTATTTTCAGTTTAGGTATCTTGAAATTGTCCACCAGAAACGTATCAGTAGGAAGTCCACTGCTTTGTTCATTGAATCATAGTATAGTATGCCATTACACATTATAGGGATGTTCCATAATTGACAAGTCCACGTGTCAGGGACATTGACTTCAGTTCCACACTTTTGCTCTTACAGTTTTACACATTTTACTTCCCTGACAGCAAGGAAGTTCGATAAAGCCTTCCACCAAGAGTAGTTAAAAAAAAAAAAAAAAAAAAGGCCTGCCACAAACTTGGGAAAAGGATTCAACTATTGGGCAGCCAGAAACACATAGATATGTACTATAATGTAGCATATATGTGGCATAGTACAGAGTAATGTGGCATACCATGTTTTGATTGGACAACTAAATATTTTCTCCCTGAGGTGATCTATAGAATCAATGCAAAACAAACTCAATTAAAATTCCAGTAGGCTTTTAGGGTAGAAATTGACAAAGGACTTTTTTAAAAAGTTAGACATACACCTACCAAATGACCCACCTATTCCATTCCAAGAATTTACCTAAGAGAAAGGAAAATCTGTGTCCTCACAAAGACTTCTACACAGGTGTTCATAGCACTATGCTTTATTTTCAGTAGCCAAAAACTGGAAATGACCCAAATGTCCTTCAACAGGTGAAGGATAAACAATTTATATATCCATAAAGTGGAATACTACCTTTAAATAAAAAATTTAACTATTGATACATGCTCCAACGTGGATGAATCTCCAAATAACTATTCTGAGTGAAAGAAGCCAGACTAAATTTAGTACATACTACATGATTCCATTTATATAAAATTCCAAAAAAAGCAAATTGATCTACAGTGACAGAAAGCAGACAGGTGGTTGCTTAGGGATGGAGCAGTGCATTACAAGGGGCCACGAGATTTTGGGTGGTGTTGGAAATAAACTTGAATGTAATGATGATTTAACAGATGTATACATATGTCAAAATTCCTCAAATTGTATACTTTAAATAAATGCAATTTATTGTATATCAGTGGTACCTCAGTGAAATGAAAGAACTTTATTTTTTGTTGGAGAAGCAGACTCCCCGTTGATCAGGGAGCCTGACTCCGGGCTCCATCCCAGGACCCTGAGATCATGACCTAAGTCAAAAAGAGAGAGAGAGAGAGAAAGTGTGAGTGGGGAGGGGCAGAGGGAGAGGGAGAAAGAACCCGAAGCAGACTCCGTGTTGAGCGCAGAGCCTGACTCAGGTGTCAATCCACAACCGTGATACCATGAGCTGAGCAGAAACCAAGAGTTGGATGCTCAACCAACTGAGCCACCCAGGCACCCCTCCACATGAACTTTTAAAGTCAGCTAGTCTGGTTTCCAAAACAATCCTGCCATGACTTTTCACTGAACTAATTTTAGTTCTAGATTAGTGAGAATTACTATCTTCATATTAGTGACTAGTCCTTAAGTACTGTGCTGTGTTCATCACTATTAAAAGTGAAATCTGTTCTTTCATCATATTTATTTTCTAACTGGTTGAATATAGAAAAGCCGGCTGCCTTATTGAAATCTCTTAAGTATTTTCAATTTAATCTGTTAATCAAGTATACAGTCATCTGCATATCACACAGCTGAAATAACTAATGAAGAGAATGAACTTCAGAGCTCTGATTTTACCAACAAGAGAACTTGCCTCTCCTTTGTCCAATTGTTATTCCTCCTATTACTTTCTTTTCTCTGTTGTGTTAGCTAGTACTTTACTTGTGTTTAATGTGATGCTGTGGCCTGTTTGCTACTCTCAAGAATGTTGCACTTAAAAATCTTTTGATTTTTTAATATATATTTTAGAAATTACTTCTCAAGAAGAAGGTTCTACTATACAGTGGATATCATCTATAGAAGCAAAGATTGAAGATAAAAAAATTAAAAGAGATAATAAACTAACTTCAGGAAAGTTGGAGAATCTCAGAAAAGAAAAGGTTAGAAAAATGTCTTAGCCCCAATTGCTTTTCTGACCTAGTGAATTTTTCCTTGTCCTTGGGTTATTCTCTTGGTAAAAGTGAATATAGTTTTGTGAAGATAGAAGATTATATTAGTTTAGATTTCACTTTAATGGAAACTTAAAGTAGGTATTTGTGCTGTGGCTGAAAATTTTAAAGTTTAAAATTCTTCCCCCCCCCCTTAAGATTATTTATTTGAGAGAGAGAGCGAGAGAGAGAGCACAGGAGAAGGGGCAGAGAGAGAGAGAGAAGCAGACTCCCCTGCTGAGCAGGGAGTCCGATGCAGGGTTTGATCCTAGGACCCTAGGATCATGACCTGACCCAAAGGCAGACGCTTAACCAGCTGAGCCACCCAGGCACCCCTAAAGTTTAAAATTCTTGAAAGTATCTTTAAACTTGAACAGGTCAAAAGATTTGGTGTGTGTGTGTTTCTTCTCATAGTCTCATATACTATATACTGTGAATTTTTGACCTGTCCAAATTCCCATTTGGAATGAGATTTTTTAAATTTCATATCCCCTTTGATAAACATAAAATTTGTCCCCTTTCTCCTCTTTGTTAAGCTCACTGGTTTATTTATTATTTTTTCAGGATTTTATTTATTTTACAGAGAGCACAAGCAGGGGGAGCAGCAGCAAAGAGAGAGGGAGAAGCAGGCTCCTTGCCAAGCAGGGAGCCCAACTCGGGGCTCCATCCCAGGGTCCCAGGATCATGACCCAAAACTCACTGGTTTAGAAAGATTTCCTCTGACAGAGATTTGAGAGTTAGTTAGAATTCTTTTTTTTTTTTTAAGATTTTATTTATTTATTTGAGAGAGAGCATGAGCAGGGTGGAGGGGGAGAGGGAGATAGAGAAGCAGACTCCCCATTGATCAGGGAGCCTGACTCTGGGCTCCATCTCAGGACGCTGAGATCATGACCTAAGCCAAAGGCAGATGCTTAATGGACTGAGCCACACAGGTGCCCCAAGAGTTAGAATTAAGAAACCTATTTTATACCTTGGGGGGAGTAGAATACAGAACAAATAACAAAAACATCATTGTCATGTCTACTGTGCACCTGCTGTGTTGCAGATAAAGAGTATTGTTCAGCTCACTTCAGTAACCCTGAATCCAGAATTTGGCTGTCATTCTCACAGAGTGGGAAAACAAACCAAATCAGCACCACTTGACTCTGCTTTTGGCCCTCAATTTTAATAAGTAGAGTTTAGAGTAAATCATCAAAAAGCATTGGCATTAGTGTGCTAAGTGTCATATAAAGAAAAAACTAGATGGATTCAATGTCTGCCTTCTAGAAGCTTATATAAAATTATAAGTTATGATTATTGTGGCACATTAATATAAATAACCATTACTCATGCCCTTGACACATTAATACAAGAAAATGGATAGATAGGTTTTATTGTTATGAAGGTCTTCTGTCTATGAAAGGGCATGAAGTGTATCTAATATCTGTATCTTTTAGGGCTTGGAATTTAACCAAAAAGTTTCATATGTTACTAAAACTTACCCTAGAAACCGTTACTGTTGCTTTACAACATCTCACAATGTATGTGACAGTCTGTGACCCCCTTATTTCACTTTTCAGATAAACTTCTTCCGGAATAAACACAAAATTCATGTCCAAGGAACTGATCTTCCTGACCCAATTGCTACATTTCAGCAACTTGACCAGGAATATAAAATCAATTCTCGACTGCTTCAGAACATTCTAGATGCAGGCTTCCAGATGCCTACACCAATCCAAATGCAAGCCATTCCAGTTATGTTGCATGTGAGTATGATGGTCTAGAATGCCTCTAACATTCCTTCCTCTGTGTGTTAGCTCATTCTCTTCCCTGTTTCTGAAGTCTTCCTCTCTACTTTGTCTCTCCCTGTTAAAATCCTTCCTTTGCTTTTGAGGTCCATCTCAAATGCCTGGGCCTCCATGTCACTGCAATTAGATGTGATCTTTTTCTTTTACCAACACTCTTCCCTCTACCACCAGTTCTCCAAGGTATTTAATGTCTTCTTTTTTTTTTTTTTTTTTTTGCAACATTTATCTTAAACTTTACCCTACTATATAGTTATACTAATTGTGTATACCTTTTACATTTTACTAGAGTGTAAACCCTCTGAGGATAGGGACTATGTTCTGTTTATTCATCCATGATTTAGTTTATTATTCCTAGGAACTATTTCAGAAATAGTGAATTCTTGTACATAGCCTGACTTCTTTTTCCCCAGTACTTTTTGTTATTGAAGTATACTTTATATACAGTAAAACGCATAGATTGTAAGTTCACAAACGGAGATGTGTTACATTTCTGTCACCCCAGAAAATTCTGTTGTGCCCTTTCCATTCAGTCCGCACCTCACCCCTGCCCAGGGAACTGCTGTTCTGATTTTTATTGCCATGTATTAGTTTTGCCTCTTTTATAGACTGTCATATAAGTGGTATCATCCATTATTTTTTAATTTGTGGTTTCTCTCACGCTGCGTATTGCTTTTGAGATTCATTCACATTGCACTTACAGTTTGTCAGTGAGTAGTATTCTGTTGTTTGAAAATACCACAATTTGTTTATCTACTGTTGATAAAGGCAAGGGTTAACTTAGAGTTTCGGAAATTAAATTTTTCTGAGGTTTTTTTTTTGTCCCTATGAGAGCCGACTTTTTCCCCCATGTAGCCAAAGAATAGGAGTTACCTTTTCATCCGTACTAGTCCTTTTTGTTTTCTTTGGGAACTGAAGTGAGAATACATTTGAATAATGTTGTTGTCTCACATTATAGTAAATTTGCTTTTAATTTTCATCTAAGATTGTTTCTGTTACAACTTCAGCTTAAAGCTCTAAAAATCATAGTGACGTTTTGAAGACTGTCACCTAAAATTACTGTCATTCAAGTTTTTTTTTTTTTTTAAGTTATTTATTTGACAGAGAGAGAGACAGCGAGAGAGGGAACACAAGCAGTGGGGGAGTGGGAGAGGGAGAAGCAGGTTTCCTGTGGAGCGGGGAGCCCGATGCGGGGCTCAATCCCAGGACCCTGGGATCATGACCTGAGCTGAAGGCAGACACTTAACGACTGAGCCACCCAGGTGCTCCTGTCACTCAAGTTATTGCCACTTTTCATTTCTTATCTTTAGCCATTCTGTTACTTACTAAAACTCTCCCTAGCGATTGAGCAGTACAGATATCAGGGGGAAAAGTTGGTTTTATAATTTTGCTTTGATAAGAGAGTTTGGTGGGAAAGAAAAATTGAAATAATGGAAATACTTGAGGTTTTGAATTATCTTTGGATTTTAGTTATCCATATTCTTTACCCAGGTCAAATGGTATTTGGTGGCAATGGTCAGAAACTCCTTTGGCAAGGCACTGGTGGCAAGGGTGGATGATGTTAGAAAAGCAAATGTGGGAAAAGTTAGACAAGCAGTGGGAATATGAATGATTACATGCATTATGATTATTTTGTTATTTCTATGGCTGGTTGTATTACTTGACCAGGCTCTGAAAAGTTTATGTACTTACCTTATACTTAATATACCTTGTTTTTAGGGTCGAGAACTTCTGGCTTCTGCTCCTACTGGATCTGGAAAGACTTTGGCTTTTAGCATTCCCATTTTGATGCAACTAAAACAACCCACAAATAAAGGCTTCAGAGCTCTGATTATATCACCAACACGAGAACTTGCCAACCAGGTATGACTTGTAGCTTCGAAAGAGGATGTATTTGGTGTTTGCTTTAGTCATTTCTTATTTGAGGGTAGTAAAATGGTCTCAAAAAGAGTAAGGCCCATGTCTTTTGGCATAGGCAAATATTCTGTACTGTATCTTACTCTGTTCTGTAACTTACTACACATGGGCAAGTTTTTTTGAATCTTTTTAAAAATTTTCTAAAACAATGATTTAAACAATGATGTTTCTTTGGCAGATGCTCTAAGATCTTTTAAGTTGAGGCTACTGAGGCTACTGGAATATATAGTCCTTCTCTAAAATGTATTTTTCTCACCGAGAAAAATGAAACCTCACCTCAGTTTTTGAGAAAGAAAAACTATACAGTGACCTCCACTCTTCCAATGTGCTTAATAGAAAATACATGCCAAGCATGAGATAGTTTTCTAATAGCACTGTATTCCAAAAACAGTATGTAGCAGATTGCAAAATGCCGAGATTCCAGGTTAATGCACATATTTTTATGGGTTTAATTTCAGTTATTCATGGGCTGGTAATAGGTTTATTTTAATAATGTAAACAAGACTATACATCTTATGTAAATATCTTAGCACCTAATATTTTTGTCATTTGCCATTTTAGATTCACAGAGAGTTAGTAAAAATCTCGGAGGGAACAGGTTTCAGGATACACATGATCCACAAAGCAGCAGTGGCAGCCAAGAAATTTGGACCTAAATCATCTAAGAAGTTTGGTAAGGGATTCATGCTTGAGATACAGAGCGTATAAGGGATTTGCATATTACAAATATCCTTAACTGCCACCTAAGAGTTCTTAAAAGTGTAGTCATACACACAATTAGTTTGGTTTTTAGAGAAACTGAAAGAGATTTCCGCATGTTATATAGATATATACCAGTGATTCTCATCCAGAGGCAGTTTTGCCCCCCACCTCACCTTCCACCCCAGGGACATTTGGCAATGTCTGGACACATTTTAAGTTGTCAGAACTGGGGTGCTACTAACCTATGGTAGGTAGAGGTAAGAGCATCCCACAATGCACAAGACAGTCCCCTACAACAACATGTTATCTGGACCAAAATGGCAGAACCGCTAAGGCTGAGAAACCCTGCTTTATACTATTGATTTTTGATCTGCCATCGAAATACAATACAGATAAGAATGGCTTATATCCCTACCCTTGTATCAGTCAGAAAATCAGCTTTTACCTGTCTTTCATTTTGAGCTTCTGAGTAAAATTTCATTTAAAGAAAGGATTTTCCAAAAAAAAAAACCTAAATATTTGAAAATAACACTGTTGGATTATAGTGTTCTTGCCTCTTAGAAGTTGAGAAGGCAGATCAAACATAATAAAAGGAAGAGTAAGCATGTAGTAGTTTGTGCTATGATGGATTAAAAAATACATATATTAGCTCACAAATAAGAAGGAACTTTTGTGGGGTTGGTGTAGTAAGATAGCAAGTATAACCGCCCCCTCCCCTCCCCTCTTCAGGTTCTTCACTGAAATTCAGGAGGCTTAATTCCCTTGTTTAAGAGAGATGAATCTTGCTTTTGCAATTTGTATCATTTGTTTTTTCTATAGATATTCTTGTGACTACTCCAAATCGACTAATCTATTTATTAAAGCAAGATCCTCCAGGAATAGATTTAACAAGGTACAGATAATATTTTAATCTCTTCTGTGTGTATTTTCATTTAGTTGATTCTGTTTTGTCCTTGACTGCTTGTCCTATGGCCCGTTGGAGTTTGCTATCTGCCAGCTTTCAGTCAGTGTTGGTGCTGAGAATAATGGTTTTCATTAGACTTGTAGGAAAGTAACTATCTGGTCTGGAAGAAAGTTACAGATTCTGATAAGCAGTTAGTACAGAATTCCCCTAGATGTTTTCACTTCTTTCAGCAATGGTGATGGAGTTTATAAGGTTTATGTGAAGCTCTGTTGTTGCTAATGGAACCTCATCTCTTTGAGGCTAAAGGAATAGAACATTGCTTAATGTTTATCTTGTTTTTACCTTTTTCCTGTTGATTTTTCTTCTACCTTTTTCTGGTATGATGTGTGGATCTGAGAAGTAGCATAATGGTTTGACTACTTCATGTGTCCCCACAGTTTAGTGAAGTGTCTTGGATCTTCCATCCAGTTCAGTACCCACAAGATGTTTTGTTATTTCTCAGTGTTGAGTGGCTGGTAGTAGATGAATCAGACAAACTGTTCGAAGATGGCAAAACTGGGTTCAGAGACCAGCTGGCTTCCATTTTCCTGGCCTGCACATCGCATAAAGTCAGAAGAGCTATGTTCAGTGCAACTTTTGCATATGATGTTGAGCAGTGGTGCAGACTCAACCTGGACAATGTCATTACTGTATCCATTGGAGCAAGGTAATTGTTCTTCGTTATCCCACTGATTTTTTTTTTTTAATACAAGTCCCCCCCCCTTTTTTTTAGACTCAAGGAGACAGGTTGTTTGGCTTTAGATTAGTAACAGGGAAAGTTTTACTGAAAGACATGTATTCTTTAAAGTCAAGATTGAGTAAGGATTTTCTATTTTATTTTATTTATTTTTTAGAGAGAAAGGCGAGGGGGAGGGGCAAAGGGAGAGGGAGAGAGAGAGAGTCTTAAGTAGGCTCCATGCCCACTACAGAACCTGACATGGGGCTCAGTCTTAAAACCCTGAGATCATGATTTGAGCCGAAATCAGGAGTCGGACACTTAACTGACTGAGCCACCCAGGTGCCCCAAAGATTTTCTATTTCAGAATAATCCAAAGGGAGATTCTCAAATTATCGTATTAGTATTTCTGTCATTATTTTTTCAGTTGATTTTTCCCATCTATCCATAAAGTGTGACAGGAGCTTTATAGCCACCCAGAGGATTTAGTTTCTTTGATGGCTTAAGTAGGACCATAGAGCCACTTGGTTTATAATCCTTTTAAAAAATATTAGGGGAAGTATTTTATACTAAATGAATGTGCACTAGTAGAAAAATGTTTTAGGAAATTGTAATATAGACACGTGATAGAATATTATGCGACCCATGAAATGGTAAGTATGAAGACTGTGCTTGGGGGCACCTGGGTGTCTCAGTCGGTTAAGTGTCTGCCTTCAGCTCGGGTCATGATCCCAGGGTCCTGGGATTGAGCCCATGTTGGGTTCCCTGCTCAGCGGGGAGCCTGCTTCTCCCTCTACCTCTGTGTTCCTTCTCTCTCTCTCTTTTTTTTTTTTAAAGATTTTTATTTATTTGAGAGAGAGAGAATGAGAGATAGAGAGCACGAGAGGGAAGAGGGTCAGAGGGAGAAGCAGACTCCCTGCTGAGCAGGGAGCCCGATGTGGGACTCGATCCCGGGACTCCAGGATCATGACCTGAGCCGAAGGCAGTCGCTTAACTGACTGAGCTACCCAGGCGCCCTCTCTCTCTCTCTTAAGTAAATAATTTTTTTTTTTAAAGTGCTTGGAATACCATATTAAGTAAAATAGAAGCCAAATGGAACAATAAAAAATACTTTAAACTTAAAAACTTCTGTTTATAAAAAGAAAGAACAAATACACCATAAATACAAAGGCAGAAAACAGAAGGGAGGGGTGCCTGGGTGGCTCAGCGGGAAGCCTGCTTCTCCCTCTCCCACTCCCCCTGCTTGGGTTCCCTCTCCCGCTTTGTCTCTGTCTGTCAAATAAATAAATAAAATCTTAAAAAAAAAAAAAAGGAAAAAATATTTATGATGCAGTGTAATGTACTACAGCAACATTTTTTTTTCTTTAAGATTTTATTTGTTTGAGGGAGAGCGCAGAGAGATGGGGAGAAGGATCAGAGGGAAAGGGAGAAGCAGACGCCCTGCTGAGCAGGGAGCCTGACATGGGGCTCGATCCCAAGACCCTGGGATCATGACCAGAGCCGAAGGCAGATGCTTAACCAACTGAGCCACCCAGGCGTCCCTCTACTACAGTATCTTATTAGTGTTTATAAAGCCTATTAAGGCTCACCCCCACTGTCTATAAAAAAGCTCTTATTAATCGTTAAGAGAAAAAGCTCAGACCTGTAATAACCTTAAAAATGTTATCATTATTTTATCCAGTAATTTTATTTTTAGAAATTTTTGTATGTAAATAATTAGATACATGAAAATTTGTGATTAGAGTACAATAAAATGTCACAATTTATTCTAAAACGGTAGAATTGTAGATAGTTTGTTTTACTGTTTACATTTTTCCCATTTTTCAAATTTTTTTAGATAACTTTTAAAGATTTTACTTATTTATTTGACAGAGAGAGACACAGCGAGAGAGGGAACACAAGCAGGGGGAGGGGGAGTGGGAGAGGGAGAAGCAGGCTTCCCGCAGAGCAGGGAGCCCGATGCGGGGCTCGATCCCAGGACCCCAGGATCATGACCTGAGCCAAAGGCAGATGCTTAACGACTGAGCCGCCCAGGCGCCCCTAGATAACATTTTTATAATTAGAATAAAACATTTAAAAATAACTTTGGGGGGCACCTGGATGGCTCAGTCAGTTGGGCATCTGGTTCTTGGTTTCAGCTTGGGTTGTGGTCTCAGGGTCGTGGGGTCAAGCCCCCAGTCAGGCTCCATGCGGAGTCTGCTTGTCTCTTTCCCTTTGCTCCTCCACTGCACATGCACGCACGTTCTCTCTCTCAAATAAACAAATAAAATCTTTTCAAAAACAAATGAAAAATAAAAATAACTTTGGGGCATCTGCCTGGCTCAGTTGGAAGAGCATGCGACTCTTGATCTCAGGGTGATGAGTTCAAGCCCCATGTTGGGTGTAGAGATTACTTGAATAAATTAAACTTTAAAATAAATAAATAACTTTGTCTTTATATTAAAGTATAAATAATTAAATGCTTATATTGACAATGGAAAACTTGATTCTGTTGGGGTTATATGTAAATTTTTTCATTTATTTAGAATTCGGGGGGAAAAGCAAAAATTGGCTCTTGCAATCTACAAGGTATGTTTTCTTTTCAGGAATTCTGCAGTAGAGACTGTAGAACAAGAGCTTCTCTTTGTTGGGTCTGAGACTGGGAAACTTCTGGCCATGAGAGAACTTGTTAAAAAGGTATATTTGGGCTATCTTCTTGAATTTTGATGAAGTTCATCAAATCTTTTTTTTTTTTAAGATTTTATTTATTTATTTGCCAGAGAGAGACACAGCGAGAGAGGGAACACAAGCAGGGGGAGGGGGAGGGGGAGAAGTAGGCTTCCCGCTGAGCAGGGAGCCCAATTTGGGGCTCGATCCCAGGACCCTGGGATCATGACCTGAACCAGAGGCAGATGCTTAACGACTGAGCCACCCATGCACCCAAGTTCATCAAATCTGATATGACTGGTGGGAGGCTGAGCACTATTCCTATATCATATTTAGTAATCTAGTGGTAAATTCTTAAGCACATTGAGTCAGCTGTTGTCCTAAGCAGGGAGGCTCACCACTTAGATTAAGTTTTCTGTTCCCAGCTCAGGGTGGGCTAGGAAAAGACCTACCTGATGCCCTAAAAAGCCTCCTTTTTCCACATCTACATCTGTTTTGGCTCATTTCATCTCCTCCCATCCCTCTGCTGGTTTCTTCTAGAACTCTAGGAGCATTGTAGAATGAGTAGGACACTGAGTGTCGTTTTCTGTTTTTATCCTTTCAGTAAATACTGAGTAGAAGCCATAATTTAAAAGTTAACTGTGAGGGCTTAGGGCAGGGGGAAATAAAACAAATAGAAATCTTAAGCCCTGCCCCTAGAATTTAGTCTTTTTTTTTAGGGGATAAAAGAAATAGACTTGTGTAAGATAGTTTGCAATAAAGTGTCATAAAAGGCTATAGAGTGTTTTTCTTAAGCACCCATGTAGTCATAATGGGGCCAGGAGGGAGAGTTGAATTGGTTGGGGAAAGCCTTTTGGGGGAAATGCTACTAATTTGGTCCTCGGAAGGATCTGTGAGATAAGACCGCAAGGGAAGTTGATGGTTGGAGGAGCAGTGGAGGGGAACAGAGTGGGTTTAGAGACTTATGAAGAGATTACCTATCTAAGGCAAAGAGTTTATGGTGAGAATTAAAGAAGATCAGGTTGGACAGGAAGGTTGGGGTCACTTTAAGAGAAACCACTGGACATTTGAAGAAATGTAAGGAAAATTACTTAAACAGCGGTATATAAAATGTAATGGCAAGAGACTGAAAGTAAAGAAACCAATCAGTAGGTTGTTAAATTAGGCTGGTTAGAGATGAGGAGGAAATAAATGAGAGAAATGAGGGTGACAGCCTCAACGGTGGAACGTTAAGAATAGTTGCGGGGGTGAAAGGGAAAGGTGTTTGCAAGTACCTAGTGACTACAGAAGTGGTTAAGAGCTTGAACTTTGGAGCCAGACTACCTGAATTGGAATTTTAGCTTTAGGCAAATTAACTTCACAGCTTCCTCATCTGTAAAATAGAAATGATAATATCTCATAGAATTGTTTTAGTATTAATAACTTGATACAAACATAGTACTTAGAATAGTGTTCGGCACACCATGCCATGTACATTCGTTTCATTACTATTCTTAAAGGTATCATTTGGCACTAGGAATTTTAAGGTTTTCACATGGGTACTCACATGGAAATTATATATCAGGGATTTCTAGCCATGTATGAGCTTAGGAGGTCTGTGAACCCTCTGAAGTTGTTAGATTTTGTGTGAACGTATGGTTGCCTATTAGAAAGCTTCACAGCTTTATTAGATTTCAAAAGGGGAGATTATGAACCAAAATAAAAAGGTAAAGCCCTAATAGGGCAGTTGAAAATAGAGAAAGCTGGTTTGAGAGAGAGGTGGGGTTTGATGATAGAAGTGTAAAAATCATCTGGTTAGAGTGGGTAGTTGACAACTGAGAGTATATTTAACATAAGATAATGACTATATTGAGAGAACGGAGAACCGGAGACTGAGCTTTGGAGGAATACCCACAATTAGGATAAACAGTGAATTAATAAAAGTTACTGCATTTTAGCAGAATTTAAAAATCTCTGAGCGCAGAAGCCAAGAGATGATTGTTCTAGGGAGTGGGTATCTATCATTATAGGAAGGTAAAGGGGATTAATTAGACATAATTGTTGGAATTGGCAAGATGGAAATTAGAGTTTAAGTTGAGTAGAGAATGGATGGTGAAGAAGATGGAGGCAGATACTGATCTGAGAAATTTGGCAATAAAAAGTACACTAAATTGAATTGGGTTCTTTTATGAACTAAAATCATATGAACTACTGCTATTGTATTCTTGATTATGGGTTATATGTGCTGATTTTTGCCTTCTCTCTTTTAGGGTTTCAATCCACCTGTTCTTGTTTTTGTTCAGTCCATTGAAAGGGCTAAAGAACTTTTTCATGAGCTCATATATGAAGGTATTAATGTAGATGTTATTCATGCAGACAGAACACAGCAACAGGTAAAGTCAAGTGTATACTTTCAAAATGATAAAGAACTACTAAACTTTAAGATATTGGCATGAAATTTATAAAGTACTTGTTTTCTGTTCCTAGTAGTACTAAAACATTTAACATGTGTTTTATTAACCAGAGAGATAACACAGTCCACAGCTTCCGAGCTGGAAAAATCTGGGTTCTTATTTGTACAGCCTTGCTGGCCCGAGGGATTGATTTTAAAGGTGTGAACTTGGTGATCAACTATGACTTTCCAACCAGTTCAGTGGAATACATCCACAGGATAGGTGAGTTGTCTCTCCTGCTGCTACCCCTCTGCCCCCCACAACCTCTGCCACCCCCGGCCACTACTCGTCTGTCTTGCGCCTACTCCTTCCCTTCAAACACGCTCATTTTGTAGTGCTCATTTTAGTGAAAAGCCAATGACTTGTATGTGAATCTTGAAGTTCCATTTCCCCAGAAAAGCGGGTTTTTTATGGTCTGGTCTTTTTTGTTTTTTGTTTTTTTTTTAGGTCGAACTGGAAGAGCAGGGCATAAAGGAAAAGCTGTTACTTTTTTCACTGAAGATGATAAACCATTATTAAGAAGGTAAATTAGGAAAAATAACTTAGTATTAAGATGGCAAGACTGCTTCATTATTCTTGTATGCACACACAATCAACAGATAATTAAAAAATGGCCAGGTCCCAAATACGGTCATGGCATTAGTCAACCAGGTTTTAGCCATGACAAAAGGAAAAATGATCAGAGGGCTTTGTTTTTGCACTTTCATTATTAGAATTTGGAAGTATTCATAATGGAATGTTCATTATTAAATTTCAGACTCACAGGATTCTCCCAGTAGCCATTGGCTGATACTACTCACAATGTAATAGTGAAGTTTTTGGATTGGTGAATAAAGTTAACCCCTGAGTCTCTTCAGCCCAGTCGAAATTATCTCTTACCATGATGCACACTTCCCTTTACTCTTATGGGCAGATGGAGTTTTATATTTAGTCCTGGGAAAAACCATTTCAGTAACACACTCCCAATATTATTCAATTGTAGCTCTTTGAAGCCTGGGTAACACATGTACTTTTAGAATCTTGGGTCTTAATTTAGCCCAGTATCATAGATCTTAAAATAAAAGCTGAGTTTCTCACATTTTGGTTGCCTACAGTAATTTTAGACTGATGATAGCACTTTGCATTTCTAACCAATGAAATTGAGTTATGGCCAAAGGCAGTTTGTACTTTGATGTGTTCATCAGTTTTGGCAAAGATTTTGATTTCTGCCTTCTGAACCTTGGCTTTGTCAGCCTTGGATATATTTTGAGCAGACTTTACACGTTCATGTGTAGGGGAGTCTATTCCAAAAGCCTAGATTCACCTACATCTCTTCAGTCACTCCAAGCATGTGAATTTGATGACCTCCATGTCAATATAACCATGCCTCTCAGTTTTCCGTCCAGGCAAGGGGGATAATAATAGTATGTCGTTAGTAAAGGGTTGTTGTGTGGATTTGGATTGAAGAAGTCACATGTGAAAAGCCCAAGACAGTGCCAAGTGCATAGTAAGCACTATCATCTAATAAATTCTAGTCAGTGTCCTCATCCAAGATTGGGTTAGTAGCTTTTCAGGGTTTGGTAAATGTTGGGGAGGAACGGCTGCTAGATAAAATTACTCATTGGCACATGGATTTCAGTCCAGCAGACAGTTTTCTCAGCAATCCTGCGTGCTTACATCTGGTGATCATTTATAGCAGAACACTGTCCTGGATTACTTTCTTGTGGGTGTAGTTTTCATTCCTCTCAAATTGTGCAGAGGGTTTAAGTACGTAAACATCAATTTGACTAGATACAAATATATGTTTATGGGTTCCTTTTTCAGTGTTGCCAATGTTATACAGCAGGCCGGATGTCCTGTGCCAGAATACATAAAAGGTTTCCAAAAACTACTAAGGTACAATCTTGAATTTGCCTAGATGATCTCTCTCTCTCTCTCTCCCTCTATCCCTCCATATGCATTCTTGCTTTCACACTCTTACAACTACAGTTCTAGCAATACTACTAGTTTTAGAAATTCTAAGATAAAAATTTTCCTTTTTAAATATCTGTGAATATGTTCTTTCCTTGACAGTTTTTTTATTCTTAAATTTTAATCAGATTTTTGAAAAATTATTCAATGTAAGTGAAATATGCTTAGAATTTATTTTAGTTCATAAAACTGATAAAAAGCAGTTAATTGCCCCAAATCAAACTTTAATGCTTGTTGGCACAGGACGTAAGTGTGACTTAGGACATATTTTATTCATAATCAGTGCCTTTTTAAAAAATTGATCAAATTTATCATCCCTTTGGGTTATCTCTCTAAATGCTATTGGGTAATTTAGCATTTTAAAGTGGATATAGTGTCACCACAAACCATAAGTAGATTAAAAAGTGAATTTTTGTGATCAAGAATCAAAACTAGTTTTAGCTTAAGCTGTTTTCAATTAAGTTCTACTGAATTTCATTCTTTTCTCTTTTTACAACTTTCAGCAAACAAAAGAAAAAGATGATTAAGAAGCCATTGGAAAGGGAGAGCATTAGTACAACTCCAAAATATTTCTTAGAAAAAGCTAAGAATAAACAGTAAGTATATGATGACTGTTCAACTCTGTCATATGGTTATAGTAGGCATTATTTCTCCTTAGGATAAATTTTTCGAGGTAGAATTGATAGGTTCAGTCAGTTATAGAATGTAATAAAAGTAATATATTTTAGGTTGCCTGTGATTTGGGAACTTGGATGATTCAATCTCGGAATTTTTCTCTATCTGTATATTAATGATCTGGTTTTTTCCATCTTTGAAAGAATGATTTCAGTTCACTTTGAATTAGAATTGCATTGCCCACCACCTCCACACAGCCTAGGTGATAGGACATAGTGCTGAGGCATTGAGGGCTGTTGACTCACATTGATGGAATCTTCCTTGAAGGCTCCCTATTCTAGGCAGGATTTCAGTATAATCTTAGGCTTACGCTGAAGCACATTGTAACACCTCTAAAAAGTATGACTTGAATAAATTTGTAGTAGTTTAGCTGAGTTTTAGGAGGATGTTAAAGCATTGTTGTTTTTTTGTTTTGTTTTGTTTAGTATATACACAGGACTACCTTTTGATAGGGGTAATCGAGACTGTGCTAAACCTCTACTACTCTTTACACTATTTAAGGAAAATGACACTTCAAATTCTACCAGTACCAGTTTATATCTAATATATATAAAATGTAGGCATTTACCAAGTACCTTTTCTCCTGCCAGGTGCTTGGGTATGTGAATGAATCTAAAATGAGACCCCTTTCCTAGTATACATTAAAAAACATTAGAGAATAATTTTTAAATAAAATAGAAGTTTGGAGACGACAAATACTCTGAATTGGTGTAGTTACAAAAAGCTTCAAGGAGCTAGAACTGTCTTTAAGGACAGGTAAAATTTAGGCATATGGAAGGGACAAGGTGAACAAAGGCAGGAAGACTGGCATGGCTTTCCATCTAAGTGGAACAAGTCTTACTGGATATTTTGTATTGACTGTGAGAAGTATAATGTTAAGTTCAAGGATTATAGAGTGTACACAGTGTCCCAAAGTTTTAGAGCAGTTTTAAGTTTTACTAACTTGGGAAGAATAAAAGCAACAAACTTACAAAAGTATCATTTGAAATCTTAAAACATTTTAATTGTATCTATACGTACTCATTTTTGTTAGTTCTTAGTATTAACACTTTGTATTTGACTTTTTTGTGGTGACAGTTTCTGGCTGACACTTAAACCAGTGGATTGGTAGAGATGGTCACCCTGCTTGGCCACCTTGGTTACCTGATCTATTAGTCTTTTTCTTGTAGCTGTATCAGAACTGTTGTGTATGCATCAGAACATTATTCTGTGGGTGATCTTAAAGCTACAATTAGAAATGTAATCTCTTCAGGCACTGAGCAGCAGCTGATGAAAGTTGTAATAAAAAGTCAGAAATCACCTACAGTATTAAGATGGTGGCTATGTTGAATTTTAATAAGAAACATAATATTTTAAAGAATTATACTTTGGATGTTGATTTTTATACGTTTGTAGCATTTACACTTGAGGTGTGAAAACTTAGCTGCACTGAGACTTCGAGGACACTTGATATAAATCTTGTCACCTAAGCCCTCCATTTAAGATGCTGTGGTCATCTCCATTGTTTCACTTTGACAGAGACATAGTGAGAGAGGGAACAGAAGCAGGGGAAGTAGGAGAGGCAGAAGCAGGCTTCCCCCCAAGCAGGGAGCCCGATGTAGGGCTCGATCCCAAAACCCTGGGACCATGACCTGAGCTGAAGGCACTTAACGACTGAGCCACCCAGGCGCTCCGTCCATTGTTTCACATTTAAAAGCCATCCTCCTTAATAGAGCATGTAAACAACACCTGGTCCAACTCCAGCTTATCTTTTTACTCTAGATGTTCCTTTAATGATCGTACCCACACCCTGCTGAGAACTCTGAAGTCTGTATCTCCAGGCCCAGCTTTCCATATACACCTGAATCCTCTTGCCTAGTGGACTTCACATCAGGCACTACAAACTCAGCCTGGTAGAGTGGAGGGAAAAATTGGATTTGGAGTCCGAAGGATCGGCTCTCATACCACCTTTTCCTGTGTGACTTTGGACAAATCACTTCCCCCTGTATATGATAGAAATAAGTATGTAAATCATGCCAACTCTGCTACTCAAAGTTGGTTGAGGATTAAATAAGTTAATACACATCCAGGAACTTTACATTACTAAACTGTAGAATGCAAACACTTGGTATTTTCTCCCAACATTTTTCCTTTTCCTCTGTTAACCTAATTGATGGCATTTACCAGACTCTAAAATCAGACTGTCAGGGTTCATATCTAACATTTAGTATCAGTGTGTGATGATCAGCAAGTTATTCAACCATTCTGCCTCATTTTCCTCATCTGTAAAATGAGGGTAATATTAGAATCTTCTTCGTAAGTTAGGAAAATTATCTGAGCTGATTCATACAAAGCACTAAAACAGTATCTAGCACTTAATCAATGTGAACTCTTAACTATTAGTAATGTCAGAGTCAGACTCCATCTTTTATACCATGTTGTGGTGTAGTTTACGATGATGTTTCTGTCTCGCTTAGGTGAGTGTGGTTTCCTAAAGGGCAGAAACCATGTCTAATGCATCCTTTTGTGCCTAGTACCTCGTATACTTGATTATACAGGTTTCAAGAATTGTTTGTTAAACTGGCAGAGTTTTAGAAAGTACATATATGTAGAATTTTGGATTCAACTTTTCTTTAATTTTCTTGTCACAGGAAAAAGGTCACTGGTCAGAACAGCAAGAAGAAAGTAGCTCTTGAAGACAAAAGTTAAAAACGGACTTTTAAAAAGACTGTATCAGAAATGGAATTTTATGATCCCAGCATGAGTGTTGTTTTCATGAAATACTTCAAATCCTGTAATCACCTGTAACATTTGAAATCAACTACAAGAACGTGAGACTGGTGAAAAATGATGCTTAAACTATCAATGCATCATGTCAAATTTCAATTTGTAGGTGACTTTTAAATGATTACACAATGGAAATAACATTCATTCACATTTCTGTGGTGTGAATCCAGAGAGATACTTCTTATAGAAGAACAAAAGCTTATGCTAAAATTAACAACACCCAAATGTGAACTCTAAAGGATTTTTTCCGTCAGTGTGAAGGAAGGTGTGATGTATGCTGTGGAGAGGCATCTGGAACCAAATTTCAAAATGAAGCCTTGAGATTAAATGCCCCTTTTCACCACCACCCTCACTTTTTTTTTTTTTTTTGAATGGACAAGAAGCAGCACAGGCTGTCTACCAAGAAGAGACCTATTGCCCTCTTTATTTTACTATTTCTTAATTTGTTGATGGCCTTTTGTGGTAATGAGCCACAACAAAGAGCCTCTTCTGTGACTGGTTACTCAAGTTCCCTAGGATTTTAAATTCGTTGGTCTATTAAATATCCTTATACCTCATCGGTAAAAGAGCTCATACCTTACCCTTCATAATGTTGCAGCTACAAGATTATGGTCAGCCTCTCTCTTTCTTCCATTTTCCATCATTTAATCATGCTCCCCGTCTCTTTCCATTCAGGATGACTTTGCTCAAAAACTGATAAACACTTTATCCTGATAAGGAAGAATGTTCCTGTTACTTGATACGCCTGCGGCTGCATTCTCTTACAGCTTGTCTTTCCTGAGGCTTTATGGCCCTGCATCCATTTAGTAAACAGGTCTCTGCCAAAGGTAAAGAGTCAAGCTTATACAGTGACGGAGACTATTCACTATTAGCAGATTTTTCTTAGTTGCTAGTTTTTGTACAGTTGGAATAAAAAATTGACTTCATACATGTAAGGTACTTAGAATGGCACCTGACATGAAGGTAGTTACTGCCAATACTACTACAATACTGTAATGTAAACTTATCTTAGCAGCATTTGAATTAAACATATTAATTTCCTTTATTCTCAGCCTTTTATTCTAATGTCAGGACAGACAGACTCCAACTTGAATATTTTAAATGAGACAAATTGTTCATCTTCAGAATTTATGTAAATAGAGACCGTTTGCTACAAGGTACAAAAAATACATACAAGCATGTGATTTTTTTGTTGTTCTTGAAAACAGATTCTTGACTCTATATCCTGGAGGTAGTTGTGATGGTGCCACCTATTGCCAACTGTATGACTTTGACTAGGTTCTTTAATTTCTCAGAGCTTCGGTTTTTTTATGTATGAGATTGGGGGTAATACCAACTATGAGTATTGGAAGTGCCTAGCTCTGTGCCTGACACGTTATAAATTAATGCCAAATATTCCTTAAAGAAACATGATATATTTGGTTAGGAATACAAGGCTTAATAACACAGTCTGTGCCCTTAGAGTGTAGTGGTGGGTATAGAGTAAAGGAACAAATAGTGTGGCAGGCAAATGCTGTATTAGACATAAGGCCAAGATGCTGAAGCATCAGAGGATGGCATCCAACGTCATGGAAGGCTGACCTCCTGTGCTGAGTCTAGCAAATGTAGGAATCCACAGGCAAAGGAGAACAAAGTATCCTGGCAGAAACAAGAAATCACATCTTCTATGATCCTGATATACTTTCTTCATTTGACTTTATTTCCTCTTTTTAGTATTTCCTCCTGTGTAACTACCCATCCTTAAATAACTGTGGCTATATACACCAGTATTAACTTGGCGTGTCAATGGATTAATACCGAATTTAGCACTTTTATTATCTGTTGGGACTACATGCTACACAAATTTCAGTTTCACCTAAAGAAGAGAAATGAAATTAGTAGACCATTGTGAAAAGAGAACACATGATAGTTAAATAGCTGTGCTAGTGAAATGAGTAAGGACTTTTATGTGAAACACCTGGGTTTGAATCCTGGTCCTGCTGAGTTGCAACCCTATGACCTGGGCAAATTACAACTTCTTTTGACCTTAGTTTTCTCATCTGCAAAATGCCAATACTAACTCTTAGGGACACTGAAGACTTTGAAAAAATTCAGTAAGGTTCCTGACTAGTGATTTGTGCCCAATAAAAGATAACTATTATTACAAATGGTTTCCCTGTAGAAGCCTTGGGGCAAGAGTGAAAGATAAAGCTAATTATAATTAATCCACTACTTGCTAATAAACTGCTTGAAGGCTTGAAAAGGTTTACATTGGACTTTTGTATTTTACTTAACAGTAGTTTGAGTAGGGGGAAGAAATATGCCCAGATTTTATATATTTTATATAATATATCCAGATAAGTTCAGAGTAGTGATGAACTGCTTTGCAAACACCGTTTTGCCCCTGCTTGCAAGTAAAGGAAAAGCAGGGATTATTGGGTGGCATGGTGGCGGAACCAAACGCATGGAACGGTGCGCGTTGAAGGTTTTATATACAGGCTAGGTGTATTTGCGCTAGGGTGCTTCACTGAATTTTAAATACCTTCATCTTCTGGGGTGGGTGCCAAAAGGAAGCTGCCGAATTCTCGGGAAAAAGAGAGGTGATCACTGATCAGCGCTGTAAAGCTATCAAAGGAGCGTCCAGGATCCACCTATTCTTTAAGTGTAAAAAGAATAAAATACCCGTGCACCCATCATTCCAGCTTAAAAAGGATTCGATCTCCTCTTTTCACTAACCAACCTGACGGTTTTTCAAACGGAGGGACAACGCTTTGCCGCTCGGCCGCCAGCCGGACCTTCCGTAGGGCCTTGCCAGAGAATGAATCAGCTGCCCTGAACCGCCCAGGAAACCCCAGAACCAGAATCGCACTCGGAGGACCCCCAGCGGCGGTCGTGCCACGTGACGAGGGCGCGCCGCAATCCCCCCTCCCCGGGGCGCGGAGGGTCACGTGGGCGCACGGCTCCGCCCCGTCGCCCGGTCCGCGGCGTGGAGGGGCTGGCGTTTGCCCCGGAAGTGGCTGTCTTCAGCTGACAGCAGCTTGTAAGGTGGCGGCGGCGGGCCCGGAGCAAGATGGCGCTGCGGCCGGGAGCGGGAGCTGGCGGCGGTGGGGCCGCGGGAGCCGGCGCTGGGGCTCCCGGGGGAGGCAGGTGGGTGTGAAGAGCCGGGCCGGGCCCCAGGGCTGACCCCGCCAGGGCGAGGGCTGTGTGGCGGTTATGGCGGTTTTCGCCCGCTTCGACCCCTTTTCCTTTGGCACTGGGTTACGGGAGAAGGGGGTCCTCCGGGGACCTAGGCCGAGGGGCGGGGAGAACCCGGCGCCCGACTCCTGTCTCCCAGGCTCGGGGGCACTGGTGCTGGAGCCGAGCAGCGAGCGAGAGCGTCCCAGTGCGGGGAGGGGAGGAGGAAGAGGAGCAGGAGGTGAGGGTCCGCTCGGCTGGGCTGGCACCCGGCCGGGGCTGGGGAAGGCAGGAACCCCGACGTCTCGCTTCTCGCCCGGGCTGGCTCCGAGCGACCAGACTTCCCTTTCCCAGGGCTTTCCGGGCTTGACCGGGGTTAGGGTAGTGAAGGCTCTGAAAAATCTGGTCACAAAACTGAACAGCTGATCCCAAGATTTGTGTGTGTGTACTGTCTGCCTGCCCCCGTTTAGAATGCCCTGTCCTTTTTATCACCTTAGGAACGCACGAGAAGCAGCAGGAAAAGGTAAAGAAAGACCTTTGCATTAATAGAGCTTTTGTAGACGTACCTCTTAAGACTTGTCTCCTTATTAAAATCAAATCACTATTAAACAGCAGTTACACAGTTATTAGAACAAAGCTTCCAAGCTTTAACTTAGTCCTTAAATAAATCTGTCTTCTGTCATATAATAATTGCCTGTGGTTCTCATATCCAGAATGATAAAGGAGAAGAACGTCTGCGACTTGACAAGTTCATCGTTTAAGGAAATCCTTTATTCGGGGAAGTTTTCACCCCACTTCTGTAATGACCTCGTCTGAGTTTGTTTTGTTAACCAACACATAGTGCATATACATTTGAAGATAAAATTAGCTTTTTATCTTCAGCAGCCTAAATTATTTTCGGAAAGCAAAGTGTTAGTATTTTGATAGGCAGTGTTTTAATTTTGGAGTCAGGAACGCTAAGCAGTGTGAAGTCTTTAAAGTTATTACTTCCTGCAGGTGCTTATATATATGCTAGGAAAAAAGGGCAGTGGCTGTTGAATGAACCACCTGTGTGCAGCCCCCATTTCCCATTTCCATTTACTTTAGGTTTAAAACTGTTTTCTTCTGTTTTCCAATCTACGCTGTTTCATTAGAGTCTTTCATGAATACTTGGTATGTCAGTTTCTGGCTGCAGAAGACAAATATGTAATCTATTTTCTGTATGTGATGACAGTTCCTAAAATGTTCTTGAGTGGCATTAATTTGACCAAGTATATGATTAATCATGGCACTAAGTTCTGAAAAAATATAAATTTGGTATTTTAGGCCTATGGGTTTTCTTTTGATTGTTTGGTTTCTGTTTTTTATGTGTGGGGAGGACCACGTGCAGAAAGTTGAGTGGATCATTCCCCTTAGTTTATAGTGTTTCAATGTCACTAGTCCACGAACACTCATTTTTAAAAATAAGTATGGCCTGAATTGTGATAGAGGTTAGATTGATTTTAAAATTTCTTTCATCTATAAAAAGTGGTTGGAGTAACATCGAATTCTAAAACTCTAGAGGAGAGGGACGCCTGGGTGGCTCAGTCGGTTAGTAGCTGCCTTCGGCTCAGGTCATGATCCCAGTGTCCTGGGATCCAGTCCCGCATTAGGCTCTCCTCTCTGCAGGAGCCTGCTTCTCCCTCTGCCTCCCGCTCCCCCTGCTTGTGTGCTTGCCCTGACAAATAAAATCTTTAAAAAATAAAAATAAAACTCTAGAGGATACACGGGAGAGAAAAGTGGCTTAAATGTTCCTTACCTTGCAAAATGTATGGTAAGTTTCCATATATTGGAAACTTTCTGAGGCCGAAAAGCTGTATGCTCAATAAAAAAAGAATATTACAGTTTTTAGAGAGCAGTGGTGAGGGCTGAAGTTATTTTATAAGGAAATTAACATTATGATAGCCTAAGTATATTTTAAGGGAAAAGAAAAAGAGCCAGGCAATCTTTCTCAGCTTCTAGTGGAGAAAATCCAGGAACTATAAGGTACCATATTTCTTAGATACTTGTTTCTGTTCTGAGACCCAAACAAAAATCAATGACATTTTCCAACTTCATTAACATTAGCCTACTTTTGATTGGTATCCTGGTTGGGCTACTTTAGAATAAATGGTAGAGTTATATAGAGGACAAAAGTTGCCCAAGAGATGGGAAGTATAATTTAAAAAAAAAAAAAAAAAAAAAAACAAGAACAGTGGAGAGAAAAGAATTGAAAGATCTTGATTAGTCTGTATCCTTCTGGGATATTATCGTTTGTGAGCTTGTCTATGTTTTTCCTTCTCTTTTACAAGCTCCTTAAGGACTTCCTCATCTTTTCATCTTCCACTGCTTCTAGTACATTGTAACATAGAAAACATTCTGTAAATATTTGTGGATTCAAACTGCATTGAAAGCAAAGGAGGTATTTCAGCTGGGCCCCATTTGGAGGAAGAGGAAGGGGTCAAGGGATTGTCATAAGAAATATGCAGGCCTACTGAACACTAAGGGAACAGCAGATAAGGCCAGATGGATTGTGGCACTAAATGGGAGATGAGTTTTGTGAGCTAAAACTGAAAAAGTTGTGCTAAAACTGGAGGGGGCCATGGATATAAAGGAAGGAAATTCAACTTAAGGGGGAGTCATTACGTAGTTTTAATCCCAGGAGTGGCCTCATCAAATGGTCCTTTAAGAAGATGCACCTCACCTGTGCTCTCTGAGCTGTATTAGGAGTTTGAGAGTCTGGAGGCGGAGAGGTGCTTTTAGGAGGTTTTGTTGGAGTCCATGCCTGCCAAGGGAAGGTTAGTAGCAAAGGTAACTGAAAGGGAAGGATGAATGGGACAGGCATGTGGCAAGTAGACCTCCTGGTTCTGCTTTCATACTCAGGTATTGGTAATAAATAGTGGTTTTACCTTTGAAATTAAATTGTTGGTCATCTTGCTGCCCAGTTTTTGGGTTTTGAGGTTTTTTTGTTTTTTTGCCAAACTTTTGCTGTCTTATCAGCGTCTTAGCTGCTTGTCTAACCAGTC